TCCGTGGTATGCGTATGCCACGCATGCGAGCAACTTAGCTCACATGTGCTGGCTCGGATGTGTTGGAAAAGGGAAACACGCACATGCGGGATTCCTCCACCCATGAGGGAGAATCCTCTCGCAACTCTCCTCTAAATATTAGATCAAAGAGACCTTTTGGGATTTGAACACGTGGCATGGATAAGGTAACAAGAAGAAGAATTCATGAAGGAAAGCAAAAGGAGAGTTCTAGCACAAGAAGAGCTTATGGGAACGCAAGCAGTGTGGGAAAAGAATCCCACCCACGCGGGAGAGTTCCAACCCGAGTGGGAACCTTTTTTCTTGCAATCTTTTCATATGTTTATTTGTTTTTGTATTTTGATTTCTTTTAGGAGAGTGCTGCTACAAGGGATCTACTTCATGTTGAAGACAAGTTGCAAGGGAAGATAAAGAGCACATGATGAAATTCGGCCAAGCATCCAAGGATTCCTAGTCAATTTCTTCTACTTCAACATCAAAAGATTCTCGGTTTTCTTCAATTCAAATTCTTCAAGATAATCAATTAATTAAAGGACATGTAATGACAGATACTTCAAGCCAAGAGGGACTCAAAGATTTGTCCAAGAGAGAAGACACACTATCCTAGTTATCTTTATTTTTTTAATTATTATTTTAACGAAATTTGGGTTGTATTTAATTTAAGAATTTTATTAGAACTCTAGAGTTTAATTTCAATTATAATTAATCCGGTAAATGTCTATATAAAGAACTCACCTTTAGTTTGTAATCAACCAATTTCAAATTAGTAAAATTTTAAAATTATCTTACTTTTAACTTATGCTAACTGTGAGAGTGAGTGTTCAATCAAGTAAGATTACTGCAACCGTCTTGTTGAGCTAAGAAAACGAATTGACTTATTGGGTGTCTTTGTTACTCCAATTGATTTCCCAGTTACCTTGGTTTGCATTTATAAGTTAATTATGGGTCAAGTAGGGAGGGTTTGCTTCGGGATTTAAGATTTCTGCATACTGAAGTTATAAGTAGGGTATTTGATTGCATTATTGATCTTAGGTTCCGCATCAGATATACTGTTTTGATGCCCATTTGCATATAAGTTATGGACTATGGTGTATATCCTATTACGAATTAGATAGGCAATTGTTGCCTTAGTAAGAGATAAGATCTAGGTTTGGAAAGGCATTAGTAAATGAAAGAAACATGTGGGTCGCAATCCTCTTACTATTTTATAAATGGTGTGGAATGAGAGAAACAAAAGAGTTTTTAAAGGGGTATAAAACGATTTAATTAGTGTTAGATATAGATGGCTCTAGATCCTACGTTCTTTGATTATGTGGCATCCTATTCATTCTTCAAAGAAATTTGGGGATTTTATTGATATACTAACTGACTTGTAAATATTTTTATACATGGAGGACACCCCCTTGATGTTTGTGAAGTAATGAATTATTTTTTAAGATAAAAAATGTAAGTATATATATAAATAAAGGTACCAAGAGAGTACCACCTATACATAAAAGAGTTTACAATTCAGTTAGGAGATCAATGACATTCTCAAAATCTTCCATCCTATATCTGTCATGATCGAAAACAAAAGAACCAAAAGTGTTTAATCATCTATTTGTAATATTAACAATCTCTCCCTCAATCTCATTAAAAGCTTTAGAATTCTTCTCCTTCCATATCATCCAAAAAATAGATAAAGTAAAAAGCTTAAGACAACCTTTTGTATACAAATTCTTGTCCACGCCCAAAGTTCATCCTTTACTGATCCTGCCATCACCCAATTAATCCCTAGAAGCCCATACACCATATAACAGGCACCGAAGAAGAATATGGTTACAAGATTTTGCATCCATTTTACACAAGAAACTTTGATTCACTAGAATTTTCCCTCTTCGCATTAGTTTGTCAATAGTCAATATGCATTCTATGCCCATTTTTGAAGCGAAAAAACCAATTCTTGGTGGAGTATTTGCCTTCCAGATCTGATTACCGGGAAAATTATTAGTCCCCACCCGCTCCCTCCTAGTCAGAAATTTGTAGTAAAATTTGACAGTGAATTCCCCTTTTTTTCCCACATTCCATACCAATTGATCGCTGAAACTATTTAACTGAATCTGAGATAGCACAAGAAGTAAGACTTCATACTCATCGATTTCCCAATCATTGAGATTTCTGGTGACATTCACAAACCAACCTCTACTCTCATTCTCCTCAAAAAAGGCCCCCATAACTCTCATACTTTTCCAAGAAGCAATTGCATAAATACTCAGAAATATATCCTCAAGTTTACTCTTTCCAACCCACTCATCTTTCCAAAAACGAATTCTGTCACCATTCCTCAACTTCTATTTGAAGCATTCTTGGAAGAAGTAATGAATAAATGAATTACACAATACTTTTTGTTTACAAAACAAAAATTGTATTGCATGTATGCTCTGTGCTAGAAGCAAATGACAACAAATAAACAAATTTATGAAAGCTCCGTCTCTACATAAATTTGAGAGGAGACTTGCTCGATAGAAGGGAGCTTTCTATCTAAGGGAGATAAGTTCGTTATCATCAAGAGTACCTTATCAACTTTCTTTATTGACAATCTGTCACTCTCATAGATTCTTGTCACTCTGGCTACAAACAATTTAGAGATATATGGTTTCATTCTTGCAGAATGATCTGAGGAGCAGAGAAGGTACCTTGGGAACATGGGACTTGGTTACATAGCTTTTTAACGTAGGACCTTGGCATTAAATCACTAGTATCTTTCAATAAAATGCTTCCTAGCAAATGGTTATAGTACTTTATGATTTCTCAAGGATATTTGTGGGTGGAAGGTGATCAGGGCTAAAGGTTGGGTTTGCTGATAGGGATGGATAGCAAAGCAAACAAGGATCTACATGGTACGAGCTAATGAAAGTAGATTAGTGCAGCTAGAAGAATTTAATGAAACCGCGTCGACCTCAAGTTGGCTTTGATGTGAGATGTGTTTCTGGATCA